GCCACCACGAGCTTCAGGGCCACCACAAGGAGGTCATACGGCCACCAAAAGATCACTTAGGACCATCAGAAAGCCATGTAGGGCCACCACGAGCTTCAGGGCCACCACAAGGAGGTCATACGGCCACCAAAAGATCACTTAGGACCATCAGAAAGCCATGTAGGGCCACCACGAGCTTCAGGGCCACCACGAGGAAGTCACACGACCACCAAGAGATCACTTAGGACCATCAGAAAGTCACTTAGGGCCACCATGAGTTTCAGGGCCACCATGAGGAGGTCACATGGCCACCAAGAGATCATTTAGGACCATCAAAAAGTCATTTAGGGCCACTATGAGTTTCAGAGTCACCACAAGGATGTCATACGGCCACCAAGAGGTCCCTTAGAGCCATCAAAAAGTCATTTATGGCCACCACGAGTTTCAGGGTCACCACGAGGAGGTCACACGGCCACCAATAGATCACTTAGGACCATCAAAAAGTCATTTAGAGCCACCACGAGGTCCTTGAGGGCCACCCGGAGAAGCTTTGAGGCCCCCAGAGCCTGCAGGCTGCCCCCCCGCGCGCCAAGGACGCTGTCCCCCTCGTTGTCACCGCGCTGTCCCCGTTGTCCCCAGTCAACAAGCGCCTGGACGAATGGGTGACGCCGGAGCGGCTGGACCTGAGCCGCATCCAGCTGCCGCGGAAGGAGGCCAAGACGCCCACCAAGAACGGGCTGCCCGGCTCGCGGCCCGGCTCCCCGGAGCCCGTGAGTGACACGGGGGGACACGATGGGGACACGGGGGACACGGGGGGATGTGGGGCGGGAGGGACGGGGCTGGGGGGGGGGCCCCAGAGCCCTCGGGGACATTTCCAGCGCTGGGGACATCCCTGGAGCCCTTGGGGACGTTTCTAGAGATGGGGACATCCCTGGAACCCTTAGGGACGTTTCCAGAGCTGGAGACGTCCCCAGAGCCCTTGGGGACATTTCCAGACCCAGGGGTGTCCCCAGAGCCCTTGGGGACGTTTCCAGCGCTGGGGACATTCCTGGAGCCCTTGGGGACATTTCTAGAGCTGGGGACATGCCCGGAGCGCTTGGGGACATCCCTGGAGCCTTGGGGACATTTTCAGACCCAGGGGTGTCCCCAGAGCCCTCGGGGACGTTTCCAGCAGTGGGGACGTCCCTGGAGCTCTTGGGGACGTTTCCAGAGCTGGGGACGTGCCCGGAGCCCTTGGGGACATCCCCAGAACCCTTGGGGACATTTCCAGACCTGGGGATATCTCCAGAGCTCTTGGGGACATCCCTGGAGCCCTTGGGGACATCCCTGGAGCCCTCGGGGACGTTTCCAGACCCAGGGGTGTCCCCAGAGCCCTCGGGGACGTTTCCAGAGTTGGAGATGTCCTTGGAGACCTTAGGGACATTTCCAGACCCAAGGACATTTCCAGAGCCCTCGGGGACATTTCCAGAGCTGGGGACATCCCTGGAGCCCTTAGGGACATTTCCAGAGCTGGGGACGTGCCCGGATATTTCTAGACCTGGGGACATCTCCAGAGTTCTTGGGGACATTTCCAGACCCAGGGGTGTCCCCAGAACCCTTGGGGACACTTCCAGACCCAGGGATATCTCCAGAGCTCTTGGGGACATCCCTGGAGCCCTTGGGGACGTTTCCAGGCCCAGGGGTGTCCCCGGAGCCATCAGAGATATTTCTAGACCTGGGGACATCTCCAGAGCTCTTGGGGACATTTCCAGACCCAGGGGTGTCCCCAGAGCCATCAGGGACATTTCCAGACCTGGGGACGGGACATCTCCAGAGCTCTTGGGGACATTTCCAGACCCAGGGGTGTCCCCGGAGCCCTCGGGGATGTTTCCAGAGTTGGAGATGTCCTTGGAGCCCATAGGGATATTTCCAGACCCGGGGATATCTCCAGAGCCCTTGGGGACATCCCTGGAGCCCTTGGGGACGTTTCCAGACCCAGGGGTGTCCCCAGAGCCCTTGGGGACACTTCCAGAGTTGGAGATGTCCTTGGAGCCCATAGGGATATTTCCAGACCCGGGGATATCTCCAGAGCCCTTGGGGACATCCCTGGAGCCCTTGGGGACGTTTCCAGACCCAGGGGTGTCCCCGGAGCCATCAGGGATATTTCTAGACCTGGGGACATCTCCAGAGTTCTTGGGGACATTTCCAGACCCAGGGGTGTCCCCAGAGCCCTTGGGGACATTTCCAGAGATGGGGACGTTCCCGGAGCCCTTGGGGACATTCTTGGAGCCCTTAGGAACATTTCCAGACACAGGGACCTTTCTTGAGTTCTTGGGGACAGTTTTGGAGTTAGGGGGTGTCCCCAGAGCTTTTGGGGACATTTCCAGATCTGGGGACATCCCCGGGGCCGTTAGGGACGTTCTTAATGAAGGGGACGTTCTCGGAGCCGGGGGACGTCCCTGGAGCTCTTGGGGACATCCCCAGAGCTGGTGGGGACGCGCTCAGATGTGGGGGACATCTGTGGGGCCGAGGGATGTCCCCAGATCTCGTGGGGACGTCCCTGGAGCTCTTGGGGACACTGGGAGCCATTGGGGACAGTGGGAGACACTGGGGACACTGGGAGCCGTCAGGGACAACGGGAGCCATCGGGGACAACGGGAGCCGTTGGGGACAACAGGAGCCATTGGGGACAACAGGAGCTACGGGGACAAGGGAGCCCCTGGGGACACCGGGAGTCCTTGGGGACACTGGGAGCCATTGGGGACAATGGGAAACGGGGACACGGGGAGCATCAGGGACAACGGGAGCCATCGGTGACACCGGGAACCATTGGGGACACGGGAAGCATGAAGGACATGGGACAAGCGGGGACATGGGGACGCCTGGGGACACGGGGATCCGCTTGGGGACGTGGGGACGCTTCGCTTTGCCGCGCAGGGAGGGTCCCCATCGTGTCCCCTTTGCATCCCGGTTGTGTCCCCACGTTGTCCCCACGCTGTCCCCAACGTGCTGCTCTTCCTCGTGTCCCCATCGTGTCCCTGTTGCATCCCTGCTGTCTCCACATTGTCCCCACATTATCCCCACGTTGTCCCCAACGTCCCTTTTCTTTGTCACGTCCCCATCCTGTCCCCATCGTGTCTGCTTCATGTGCCCACATTGTCCCCATGTTGTCCCCAACATCTTTCTTTCTTTGTCACAATTCTGTCCTAATCGCATCCCAATTGTGTCCCCTTTGCATCTTTGCGTTGTCCCCACGCTGTCCCCACGTTGTCCCCACATCATCCCCGCACTGTCCCCATGCTGTCCCCTGCTGTCCCCACGTTGTCCCTGCACTGCCCCCCAACTGTCCCCCTGTTGTCCTCCACTGTCCCCACTGTCCCAATGCTGTCCTCCCCCGTCCCCTCATTGTCCCCACGCTGTCCCCCGTTGGCACCACATTGTCCCCGCGCTGTCCCCTCGCTGTCCCCACATTGTCCCTGCGCTGTCCCAATGCTGTCCCCCGCTGTCCTCCCCTGTCCCCCCCTTGTCCCCATGCTGTCCTCTGTTGTCCCCGTTGTGCCCCATGCTGTCCCGTGCTCTTTCCTGCTGTCCCCGCCTGTCCCCATGCTGTCCCCTCGTTGTCCCCATGCTGTCCTCCCATTGTCCCCTTGCTGTCCCCTTGTCCCCATGCTGTGTCCTGCTGTCCATTGCTGTCCCCCCGTTATTCCCCCGTTGTCCCCATGCTGTCCCCATGCTGTCCCTGCCTGTCCCCCTACTGTCTCCCATTGTCCCCATGCTGTCCCCCTGTTGTCCTCATGCTGCCCCCTCGTTGTCCCCCGTTGTCCCCCCATTGTCCCCATGCTGTCCCCGTGCTGTCCCCACCCATCTCCTTGTTATCCCCCTGCTGTCCCTGCCCGTTTCCCTGCTGTCCCCCATTGTCCCCATGCTGTCCCCTGCTGTCCCCACCTGTCTCCCCATTATCCCCATGCTGTCCCCTGCTGTCCCTGCTGGTCCCTGCGTTGTCCCCGCGTTGTCCCCATGCTGTCCCCCTGCTGTCCCCACCCATCTCCCTGTTATCCCTATGCTGTCCCGTGCTGTCCCTGTTGTCCCCATGCTGTCCCCTGCTTTCCCTGCCCGTCCCCACGTTGTCCCCATGCTGTCCCCCGCTGTCCCTGTTGTCCCCATGCTGTCCCCTGCTGTCCCTGCTGGTCCCTGTGTTGTCCCCCCGCTGTC